CTGCGAGCGTTTCTTATGAGACACCTACTCCAGGGACCCGTTGACTCACCTGAGTGGATTGATTGGCCAAAAAGAGTCCAAACTTTGTGACTTCCTGAGTTTGGCCGAAAAAAGAGCCCAACCTTTGAGTTTCCTGGAAAACATGACCTTCCCCCTTAAAGAACAAAGTGCACAGGTGAGTTGCACGGATTGGTTTGACAAAGGTGGTTTAGACGCATGTCACCCTCTTTTGGTAAGGCAAAGCACAAGGTGGGCGCCTTAAGAAAAGGCACGCCCATATATGCATCATGCTTGGGAAAACTTGAGAAGAAGATTCTACCCTGTCACAGTCTCTCAAGAGGCCAACAGTCCAATGTGAGAAGTTGTTTGGTCAGCAAGCTTGGGTTGAACCCACCTTTTCATCAGCGGCGGCGTCCATTTAAGTTGGCAAGCGCGGCTACAACCGAAGACACACACACACACACTTGATATGAGACGGCGACACTGCCATGGTGCACCCCCGAGCAACTGGAAGGTGAAAAGTGGAGTTTCGTCAGCTTACCTTCCCGATCTGTTCGCTCACCGCGGCTACTCGTCAGTGCCCATGACTACCGCGACGAGGTACTAAGAAAGGGGGTCGGTTTGCTGGCATGGGCAGACTCCAAGCACAAAAGAACAGCGGAAACCTTTTAGGAACAGGGGGGCCACACACACACACCCCGCAGGGGGAAACCACAGGAACCCGAAAGGCCGCCTCCATCATGATGCTCGATGGGAGATTTGGTCACTTTTGTAATTCCTGCCTGTGCGTCTGGAAGACAGGGACGCGCATGTATCCGACAGTTATTGACAAGCCGAGTTTCTAAAACAAGGGCCAACCAGGAACCCAGACAGCAGGGGCCCCCAGAGACAGAAACAAAACAGAAAACCAAAACCATGCCAAGACATACACCGGCGGCGACTGTTTGCGGACTTTTTAGGGACGCATTGCTCCCATCTGGAGTTCAAAAAGTCGATGCCCCAAATCCGTGGTAGAGCTGCACATGTATCACCGGAGACGACTGGACAGGCTGTGTTGGACACGTTCAGGTAGTCTTCTGATGCTGTTCCCGAGCTTTCCTGAGGCGTTCCAGGCTCTTCCAGCGCTGCGTGACATCCGCGATGGACCTGTTGAGCTTCTTGGCCAGCGATTTGTACGAGTACTTGGACCGCTTGTCCGCTTTCAGGCTGCAAAGCTGCTGGTCATCTTCCTCTGTCCAGGCACGAGGTGCTTCCGGGGGAGTTCCAGGGTTGCCGGCATCGGAATGAGCATGAGCCGCAGGTTCAGGAAGGATTCAGGAGAGGATACCAGGCCAGCGCAAGGAGAGACCGGAGCTGGAGCTGGAGTACGAGGTGCTGGACGTGCTGGAGGTTCCGGCGAGTCCGTCTTCTCGGAGGATGTAGCGCGGCGTCGCTTTCGCTTGGTCCTGCGTCGATCGGCCTCACCCTTGTCCATTATAGAGCGAGGAACATTGGCCTTCTTGAAGCCCGGCTGACCAACGTAATCGTGCACCATGGGGCTCTTCGAACGCAGATCTGTAGGGTCGTTGGTGTCCGCCGCGATGATGCAATAGGACAACGACTTGGGGTTGACCGCCACATTCCGCCTGTGGTCTGCGTGTGACTGAATTGATTGGAATCCGACATGTGGTGGAGGGTCGGTCGGAAATGCTGGGTTGACTGGAGTTGACATCGGCGGGCCAGGTGGGTTTACCTCATCGGCTCCAGTAGGAGCAGGTGCGTGTAGCCGTGATGGCTCGGCCAGCGACCGGCCGTGGACATGTTCTTGTTGCCAGCGACCTTGCCCGTCATGGTGCCGCCGACTGCGTGCCTCGTCAGCTTGGTTCAAGGTCTCCTGAATGAGCTGCATCATGTCACCAGCGTTCTGAGCCATGCGGTGATGAAGCGCTATCATGCGGCCGAGCATGGCGACAGCTCGCGGAGGTCCGCAGGAAGTGCAGCACTGTTTGAACCAGTGTATGAGCACCAGGGTCAACACGGACATCAAGAAACAAGAAAACCAAGAAAAACAAGAAAAACAAACGCGGACACATGAGGGTAAAGAACCAAAAAGGCAGGCGCTTGAGGATTCTTTCGTGTTGGAGTCGCCGGTAGGTGAAACAGGTGTTGCAGGTCAGCTGACTTGTGGCCTGCGGACAAATAGATGCTGCGCAGCTGATCCAGTGCCATCTGCACTGCCCTGGCCGGATGCGCGTGCTTGGTGGCAAGGGCTGACCGTGACCTAGCTCCTGAGAGGAGGGTTTTGTAGTAAAATAGACCGGTCGCCGACATCGATGACGAAGCCGAGGAACTCTGAAGACCCCACTTGTTCCAGCACGATGGGGGCGCCGTAGAAGTCAGCCTGGAGCAGTGCCTCCAGTGGGAGAATTAAGGGAAGATGACAAACCGGTTGTCCACATATCTCTCCAAGAAGACGTTGTGACTGGTGTACCATTGTCCATAGATACGCTGCCAGATGACTTCGTGCCTTGCTACGCATATGTGGCTAAGTACCGGGCTGAGCTGGGAGCCAATTGCTGTACCATGGACTTGGCGCATGATGAGGGTCCCAACTTGAACATACATGCCTTGGAAGCTGGACTTGACGATGGTCATGATGTCCTCCATGTGGATGATGCGCGTGGTCGGTGTGCGTCCGTAGGATTGCTTGCCCGCAAACACCCGATTGTGGTGGGCAGTTGCCTGTGTTTCCACTGAGTATACGGAACTGGGCCGGTCTCGTTGGTGCTCGGCAAGTAGTTGCGCAACCGCTGCACACACCTGGTCCTGAGGAACACTGTTGAAGAAGCCGACTAAGTCGTCATTGTGGAAGGCAAGGGTGACTGTGTCGTCTGTGTTGTCAAAGTATTGCTTGATGTTCTGCCATATGCGTGGTGTGGGGTGTATACCCCATGAGCGTTTCCATGTGTCTGCGGCAATCTCGCCAAGAAGGATGACGACTGCTTTGAAAAGTAGCCGGTGCACCTCCTTGTGGTATGCTATAATGGTGCGACCCGACTTCCACTGCTTTTTCCGTTTGAGAAAGACTTTTCCAACCGGGATGGAGGTGGTCTTCTTCCAGTATGCCCATTTGTACCTCTGCCGCAGGTTCTTCGGAATTGCCTCACCCAGAGGATCCAGGATCAAAAAAAAATCAATCCATGAAAATGAAGATTGATATTCGCATATTTTAGGTGTTTTTAAGTGTTTTTTAAGCTATTTTTTTTGAAGGAAAAGATTGATATTTTCTCCAAAAAAGATTGATATTGTTTGAAGTGTTTTTCAACCAAAATATCAATCTTTTTTTCGATTGTAAGGTTTCTTAGAATGAATGCAGGTTTATGAAATGGTTGCAGCTCGCAGAAGGGGACAGATCAAAGGGCATGCTGCTTGCCTCAGAAAAGCCCTGCAGAAGGGCAGCGACCAAGAGGCAGACTGCATCAGATCATTGCAGATGTTTGAAAACTGCAGTTGCAGCGCTTGGCCTAGATCTTGCAGTCAACACATAGGCGCAATGGGAAAGAGGGAGCAGGTGACACCAGTGGACCAGTCAGTGCTGGACATGGCCCTGCACAGCAATAAAAGCTGGCAGGACTTGGGTGCCTATGAGACCATCAGCAAAGCACAGGCTGCAGATGGAGAAAGTTTAGCCATGCACTTTGACTTGCTGAAGAGCTTGCTGCTGGTTCAGCCTGAAGGCCAGCTTCTGCTGACCCAGGTGAGAGCTTCAATCCTGAAGGCGGTGAGCTGGAACCTGAGTTGAACAAAACCAGCTTGAAGAATCTACTCTGGGCTGGAAGCAGGTTTGACAGGATCTCTACCATGCTCTACCACTTGAGGAGGGCAAAGAACAACACAGAGAAGTGCCAGCAGCTGGTTGCCAAGTCATCATCTGGTTCACTTGCCAAAGTGAAGTCCCTCATTGCCATGCTGACCAGTGAGGCAGGGCCAGCTGAGGGTGAGGCAGGGCCTGCTGAGGATGAGCCATGCCCTGCTCAGGGTTTGCAAGAAGATCTCCAAAGTGAAGCACCACACACCCCAGTGCCTGCAAGCAAGCAGCAAGGCCAAGACGCAGAGGAAAAAGAGCCATGCTCCTCGAGCTCCTCAAGCCGCAAAAGCCCAAAGCTAAAGACAAAGAAGCAGCCAGAGCATGGCAAGAAGAGCCCTTTCCACTACAGAAAGGAGTACTACAAGAATGGCAACAAGTTTGGTGTTAAGAAGTTTAACAATGGGAAGTGCGTGGGCCAGATTTTTGCTTTTGGGCACAAGGAAATCCACAAGGTGGAATTGGATGCCTTGGCATCCAAAGTCCTACACGATCTTCATTTGAGGCCAGGGGACACGGCCAAAGAAGAGGAGATCATGCTCCTGGCCAAGCACAAAGTTTGGAAGATGCTGAAGAATAAGCATGATTAGTTTGGCATGCTGTCTATAGCTTGGGGTTGTCTCACACGTAAAGACATCAGAGGGATCCATGCAACACATTCATCCTTGCTAGAGGGCTAGCCTCTGCAGAAGAGGTGCACCAAGTAAACCTTGTTTTTTGTGGAAGTTTGTTATCCATGCAACACATTCATAGAGGGCTAGCCTCTGCAGAAGAGGTGCACCAAGTAAACCTTGTTTTTTGTGGAAGTGCCAGAAAGCCCCTGCAGAAGGGGAGCTGAAAAACAATTCCCCTGCAGAAGGGGCGGAGAAGAGAACAAACTGCAAATCCTCTGCTGAAAAAGCAATTCCCCTGCAGAAGGGGATGGGGAAAGCAAAGCACAGCCTCTGCAGAAGAGGGTGCGCGCGCAAGCCTCTGCAGAAGAGGCTGCAGGAATATCTTGCATGAGCTGATTTGCAAGCGTTTGAGCACACACACATTAATTGTTGGTGCTGCAGTTCCATGGCTCAAGCTGAGATTAGCTTGCAGGTAAAACACTTGCTGGTGAGAAGCATGAATAACATGCAGCCTGGGATCATGACTGTGGAGCAGCTGCAAG